TCATCCGGCCACAAGACGGGCCGCAGACAAACTTCCTCCGTCTGATCGCTCCAGTGTGCTCCTCTTGTCGCGTTGAAGTGTGCTGGAAACACGCACCGCCGGAAACAACCCTGGTCTGCCGCTGCAGCATAGGATCAGGTAGTGGCAGATTAAATTGCCGCGGCACAAATAGCCACGCCTTCCCCCCCACATTATCTGGCTCGTGTGACTGGGGCCAAAGTATTCCAGACCATTCCCTAATTTCTAGAAGGCAAGTAAAGGAAGGTGTACCAAAAAGTATGTTGGGAGACTGGGCTTTCCAACGCCAAGTGATGTAAGTGCTCATGAGAAGTTTAGGTGACCTGGATTGTATTCACTAGTAGGAAGGAAAAGAGAGGGCAGTGAAAGAAACCTGTAAAATCCAATAGGGCAACTTTATAAACCCTATGCTTTTTGAATGTAGCAGAGTTGGACACATGCTTGCACCAAAGGAATGATTAACCAGAGACCCAATTAGTCGATTGTTTTATACATTTCTTTCTTTTATTTATTTCTCTACAAGATTCACATTGAAGAAATAATTTGAGACCGATCCAATTGCAGATGCCAGTTTGTTGGATAAAGCCCCGTTAGGTCCTGTGTTGATTCCCCACCCCTTCTCTCGGTTTATTTAGCTTATTTTTTGTTATAGCTTTTATATTACACTGTGATGAGATAAATCACCATCAACCAATTTATTACGGTCATAAACCAGCAAACAATACAATAAGAGGCAAGTAAATAACAGGTAAAAGAACAGTAAAATACATTATAAAATATAATAACATCTAAAATTATAAACAGGAATCTAAAATGTTTAACATACAGAAATGGTAAAAATTAGTATTAAGATCAAAGGTTAAAAATAAATCTAGGCCTATCCATACTTCTTTATCTCTTTCCTAGTTTGGTATGCCAACCAACCAAATTTGTAAAAATTTCCTATAAATATAGAATTTTTAAAAAAAGATTAATGAGAGAGAGCAATCAAGATGTATGAAAAAACAATCTTGTATGACCCCCCCGCCTAAAATAAAATGTTAAAAAGAAAAATCAAGGTGTTGAAAAACACTTTTTATTGTTATTCCTTCTTGATCCCAATAACAATAAAAAGTTTTGCCCAACACTTTGATTTTTCTTTTCTTCTCCTGGTGCTGGTGTGGCTCCGACTTCTTCTTTATCAAGGACAGATGTGTCATCCATGAAACTACTGTTCTACCACGAAATGCTCTATCACCTTCCCTAGAAAAGATAGATTGGAGACTGGTCTGTAATTGACCGTCTCACCTTTGCAAATGAAGGCTTTCTGAGGAGAGATATAATAACTGCCTCCTTTGAAGGCCCAGGGAGAGGCCCCTCAACCAGGAATTGACAATTTTTACTAACAAGGAATAAGGCCCATTGTGAAAATAAATACAATGAGCTCTAGAAAGAGGCTCTGGGATAGTGCCAAGGCCTTGGGCACTCAGCGTCAATTTGCTGTGGCGACCTCCTCAAACCCCACACTCTCCAGGCTCCAGCCCTAAAATCCCCAGGAATTTCCCAGCCTGGAGTTGGCAACCCCATCCCCTTCCCAGCTAACCACCAACCTACTGTTATCTGCCCCTCTGACTGCAGCTGAGTTCTGCCCTCTCTCCTGGAGATCAGTTATAAATCTGAGTGATCTCCACCCTCACCTGGAGATTGGCAACAATGGTTCTCCAGGAGAAAATGGCTGGTTTGGAAAGTGGAGTCTATGGCATTGTACCTGTCTGAGGTCCCACCCCTCCTCAAACCTCACCCTCTCCAGGCTCCACCCCTCAAATCTCCAGGAATTTCCCAACCTATCTCCTTCCCAGCCAAGCATCAACCAGCCATTATCTGCTCCTCTGATGTCAGCTTTCCATCTCCTCCCCTCTCCCCCCTCCCAGAGATCAGTTGTAATTCTGAGTGATCTCCACCCCTCACGTGGAGATTGGCAACAGTGGTTCCCCAGGAGGGAATGGTTGGTTGGGAGAAGAAGAAGAGATTGGAATTATACCCCATCCTTCACTCAGAGTGGCTTACAAACTCCTTTCCCTTTCCCTCCCCACAACAGACACCTATGAGGTAGGTGGGACTGAGAGAGCTCTGACAGAAATTGCTCATTCAAGGACAGCTCTGACAGAACTATGGCTTACCCAAGGTCATCCAGCAGCTGCAAGTGAAGGAGTGGGGAATCAAACCCGGTTCTCCCAGATTAGAGTCTGCACACTTAACCACTACACCAAACTGGCTCTCACTGGAGGGTGGAGTCTATGGCATTGTACCTCTCTGAGGTCCCACCCCTCCTCAAACCTCACCCTCTCCAGGTTCCATCCCTCAAATCTCCAGGAATCTCCCACCTGGAGTTGGCAACCCTATCTCTTTCCCAGCAAATCATTAACCTACCTTTATTTTCCCTTCACTCTTCAGCTCCCGTGGGTGAATCTCACTCCTTAAGTTCGCTGCCACCACTCACTGAATTGTCACTACCTTATTAGACGGACAGTGAGCCCCCTCTGGCCAAATCTCCCTGTTTGGAGATGGAATCCCCAACCTTTGGGGGATCCCTTGAAAGTTGGCAACCCGAGGGTCTGGCCTTTCCTTGCTTCCTTGGGCTACCCCTTCCCTTTGTTATTGTGCAGATTGGGGTAGACTATGTGGTCAGAGCACAACACAGATTAGTAGCCCAAATAAAATAATTTATTTAACTATTTACACAATTATGGAGCACACACACACTAAATGTATAAGGCAGAACTGTAGGAGTAAGCACACACTATGAACCAACAGAGCATAAATCAATAGGGGTTAAACACAATCCTTTTTCCCTACCCATAACACTCTACCTCTGGAGGTTGTGGGCTCAGGATAGGATCTCTCCTTGGACCGGCCTCTGGCTCTGCTTCAGGCCAAGCCCAAGAGAGCAGGGAAACTTTCATTCATTCTCCAGTCCAGCCGAATGTGGAGTGACTGAATCTCTGCTGCCTCCCAGGGTTCCCCCACATCTGTGGCTTGTGCCCTGGACAACCTTATCAGCACAGGCAGCAGTAGCATTTCCTAACCTTTTGTAGGATGAAGACTGCCTCCTCTCTGAATGGGCTGGAGTCTATATTGATGCTGTCCTGCCCCTTGGGACAGTCTCTCTTTTCCTGCACCTTTTGGTCTTGGGGCAGCTGGGAACTGTAGGCCAGCAGATGAGGAAGCCCCATTCAACCCAGTGAGTGATACCCCTGCAGGCCCCTCTTTGGAACTACAGCTCAATTAAACCTTATGGGGGAACATTTTAAACAACCACACAGATGGCAGCCATCTTACAAACACAGCTAACTGCCATTTTGTTACACCTACCAACAGCCACTGAGGGAAAAGTTAAGTCCCATACAGGAGGCAAGCAGGAGAAGCATCTTCATCAAGAGAGAAAGCCGTTTGAAAGTAATCCTGACGGCAGAGTGGCTGAAGGGGGAGTAGGCGGGGAAGAAAAGCAGACCCAGCACCCAGCCAATGGCATGTGAGTACTCTTGAGTGGCGGCTGATGGGCCAATAGCTGAGGGAGTGCATGGAATCTTGCCACCCCAAAACAGGATTATGTATAAGGAGAGATGGCTCCAATGCCATTTCCCGGCAAGATTTCAGAAGCCAGGATGGGTGTAGGTCCAGAGCATAAGTGGTGACCTTCACAGTCTCAAGGACCCTGTCAGCATCCATAGGCAGGATCAATCTGAAACTATCCATAATGCTGTACAATGCATTGATCAGGCCGCATCTGGAGTATTGCATGCAGTTCTGGAGGCCTCACTTCAAAAAGGATGTGGACAGAATGGAGCGGGTGCAGAGGAGAGCAACAAGGATGATTGGGGGCCTGGAGCCCAAGCCCTATGAGGAAAGGCTGAGGGACTTGAGGATGTTCAGCCTGGAGAAGAGGAGGTTGAGGGGGGACGTGATTGCTCTCTTTAAGTATTTGAAGGGCTGTCACTTAGAAGAGGGCAGGGAGCTGTTCCCGTTGACAGCAGAGGAAAGGACTTGCAATCATGGGTTTAAATTCAGGGCGGAAAGGTACCAGCTGGATCTTAGGAAACACTTTTTGACAGTCAGAGTAGTTCAACAGTGGAATTAACTGCCTAGGGAGGTTGTGAGCCCCCCCCCCCCCCACTCGCTTCACACAGGGGTGTGCCGGCTGGACAAACACTTGTCAGGGATGCTCTAGGCTGATCCTGCATTGAGCAGGGACTTGGACTAGATGGCCTGTTTGGCCCCTTCCAGCTCTTTCATTCTATGATTCTATGAAAAGCGTGTGCTTCTGAAACTTCAGGCACCGGGTCTGCGCTCAACTTGGCCTCCAAAAAGGAACAGATGAGAGAGATTTTGTCGGCAAAAAACCTTGCAAAACCATCACAGTTGGGGGTCAGATTTTCATCCCCGATACGGTAGGGCTTAGGTAATATAAAGTCATGAACCATTTAAACAATTGAGCTGCATGAGATGCTGCTGACGTAATGGAGCCGGAGAAGCAAGTCCAGCTCGGGGACTTTCCCTGGTTGTAAAGATGCTTGGCGAAGTGCCTGTGATGCATATCAACAGAAGACATCCAGGTGATCTAATCCAGACCTTGCCTCCTTCGTAATGGGGGAGGTTCAACCCAGGGAAGTTCCCCGGGAATCATATTTGCGCTGAACTTCTCAGTATTCCCAAATTAGCGCATGTTCTTCCCGTCACCTGTAGCACTGCGATCTTGTTCTGAAGCATGTTTGTTTCCTTGTGAGATGAGTATTTTTATCATTGATCAATGGGTTGACCTCTTCGCTTTACTATCGAGGAGGCAAGATAAGGTAATCCTGATAGGTCATTAGCATGTAAAATGGTTCCAGGAAAATCGTCAAAAATCTTCCTGCTCATCTGCCGTGTCCTCACTCAACCCCCAGCGGCCCGGGCTATAAAAGCCAGTGGGGACCTGAGCAAAGCTTCACCTCACCCTCCAGGGAGCTGCCACCATGAAGGTCCAGGCTCTCACCGCCCTCCTCTTCCTCCTGGTCGCTGCAAATGAAGCCAAAACTATGGAGAAATGTGAACTGGCCAAGACTCTGAAAAGCCACGGCATGGACGGGTTCCAGGGCTACAAACTGGGGGACTGTGAGTTTGCTCTTTGTTTCCATTTCTTTCTGTTCTTTCGTTCCAAGACCCCGGGCACAAATGTGGGTATTTTTACAGAATGTTTCATACCCCATAGGAACTCTCCCCCATTTCAGAATCCTTTCAAGGGGAAAAGGTTTGCTTCTCTGAGCTGAGATCAATGAAGAAAGGGTGACTAGGTGAAAATGAGTCCCACGTAGGGTTCCCGGGTCCAGCCTGGCCTCTGGTGGGGGGGGCAGGAGGGGGTCGGGTTCCCAGCTCAAGGTTGGGAAACTCCTGGAGATTTGGGGGGGGTGTGGAACCTGGGGAGGACAGGGACCTCAGTGGGGTACAATGGCACAGAGTCCACCCTCCAAAGCAGCCATTTTCTCCAGGGGAACTGAGCTCTGTAGTCAGGAGATGAGCTGAAAATCGTGGGGATCCCCAGGTCCCACCGGGAGGCTGGCGTGGAAAGTTCTGTTTTGCTTTGGGCTTTAGAGTAGATCTTTCCACTGGAGTCACTGCTCAGGAGTGTTTTAACATTTTAGAAGGCTGAAACCCAGTCTAGTTGCAGATTATTTCTTCCTGTACCGTTCTTCCCGACTGCAGTTTCCTTGCTAGCCCCCCTTTTCTGCTCCATTTCCTGCAGGGGTCTGCATGGCGTATCACGAGAGCAAATATAATACCAAGGCTGTGGGGCCCCCAAATAAGGATGGCAGCCGAGACTTTGGGATCTTCCAGATAAACAGCAAATACTGGTGCAAAGATGGGAAGCATCCGTCGAAGAATGGGTGCAACAAGTCCTGCAGCAGTAAGTAGCGTGCTTATGTTGGCCCAAGGGTCATTTCGCAGAAAAAGAGGTGCAGGAGCTCATTAGCATAATTCATTAGCATAGCTTATTTGCAGATGCCACACCCCCTGACATCACCGGAAGTGTGTTAGAAGGCAACCCCCACCGCTCAGGCTCCAGTGGACTGTTTTGGATTCCTAGCTATTGGGGGGGGGGGGAGAACGTGCAGATCTCGCAGAGGAGGGAGAGCTTGTACCTGAATAAAGCTTGGTCTTAAAGGTGCCACTGGACTGCTTTGGACCGGGGGGGGGGGCAGGGGGAGCTCTGCAACTTACCTGGCTGCTTCTTGCTCTGACTGAGGGCTGCTGGGAGCAGGGGGTGTGGCTTGTTGCATGTGCCCGCCCCCTGGGCTCTTTACTGCCGGAGCTCCGCTCCTGTGCGCTCCTGCAGGAAATGACCCCTGTGTTGGCCCCATCTAGATGAAGGTCTGCAAAATCTCTTGAATGTGGATCAAGACGGGTAGCCGTGTTAGTCTGCCTGTAGAAAAGAGCAAGAGTCCAGGAGCACCTTAAAGACTCACAAAACTGGTGGCAGGGGGGGAGTGTTCGGAAGTCACTGCTCGCTTCTTGAATGTGGAGGGTGGAGATGTTTTGGAAGGAGGGTTCCATCCCTTCGTCCCCCAGTGGCCACCTTCCTGCCATTACCTGGTCCCCTGTGGAGCACCCACTCATCCCATGACTTTCTCACCTGCCCCCCATGGGACAGCATTGGAGGAGGAAGTTTAGGCAGCATGAGAATGAAGAAAGTGAGAAAGTGCCCAGAAGAATTCCCTGTCCATGAAAACACCCTAGTGGATCCAATCCAGAGAGGCATTTGCAGAGCGGGATTGAGAGAAGCACTACATTTTAAGCCCCTTTGTTTCCCAACAATTTTTCTCTGCAGGCTTCACAAATGATGACATCAGAGATGACATCGAGTGCTGTAAGAAAATCGTCCGTGACCCCAAAAAGATGGATGCCTGGTGAGTCCCTCCCTACTTATCCCTCTGCTTGTAAGGTCCGACAGCAGCTAATGAGGCTGTACTATGGAATGGGGTGATCTTAGCTAATGGCCAACATGGGCAGCTGCCCCGGGCAACACAGTGTGTGTGGGGGTCCTCAGCCACCCATGGCCCCACCCCCTGATGGGGGTGGAGAGGAAGAAGAAGAGGAGGGTCCCACTTCATCCAAGGCTTAGGCAGCTAACTGGCTGGTAGGCAGTGGTGACAAGCTTGGTCCCTAGACAGATCACTCCCAGCAGATCAACAGGTGATGGAAGTTCTCAGATTCCAGGGGCTTGAATATGGAAGTCATACCTCTAAAATGCAGAAGGTGACTTGTGACTTTTGGAGAAATCATCTTGTATTATTCCCAGTGCATTTCAAGAGTGTGTGAGCTTACCTGAAGCTGCCATCCATGGAGACTGGCACTTGGTCTATCAAAGTCAGCCTCGTATATTACAGGCAGTGGCTTTCCAAGTTCTCAGGCAAAGGTTCTTCACCTGATCACCTACTCCCTGATCCTCTTAACTGGAGATGCTGGGGGGTTGAACCTGGGACCTTCTGGGTATAAAGCAGATGCTCTACTGCCCAGCCAATGTCCCTCCCAAAGAAAATATGCTGTGTAGATGCCTGGATTTGGCCTGTAGTCAACACCTAACTGAAGCTGGCAACAGGGAAGAGACCAAATCTTGCACTCATAGTCATTTCAGTGGACAACACCTGGATGCAGCAGGCTACCTGTTGTCAGAGTACTAACGAGCAGGATTGTAGGAAGACATCAGTGAGCCAACCGTTCAAGAATTTGGGGTGGTAGGACCATGGAGAGCATCAACCACACCTTGAGATCACAGCCCCCCCTCACCCAACAGTGAGCTTAGCTGGGGAAATGCATGACCCAAAGAGTGATTAACACTTGGAATTCACTGCCACAGCAAGTGGTGGCAGCTACAAGCATGGACGGCTTCAAAAGGGAATTAGATAAGCATATGGAGCAGAGGGCCATCAGTGGCTATTAGCCACAAGGTATAGATAGGGGCTCTGGGGCAAGTGATGCTCTGTCATCTTGGTGCTTGGGGGGGGGGGTCAACAGTGGGAGGGCTCCTAGTGTCCTGGCCCCACTGCTGGACCTCCTGATGGCACTGGTATTTCTGGCCACTGTGTGACACAGAGTGTTGGACTGGATGGGCCTTTGGCCTGATCCAACATTGGCATCTCTTATGTTCTTATGTTCTTATGACCCATGGAGCACGTAGTGCACTACTTTCAGTGCTCCTGGCTCTGAAAGGAAAGTGGGAGTGGGGAAAGGAGCCAGATGGGTCTGTAGCTGCACGCCTTGAGTAGCTTGGAGGATGGAGAGCTGGAAGATGTATGCCAGGCCGTGGGCTCTCCACTGACCAAGTATAATGGTCATCACTGTGGAGTGACAGGGGTATAGAAGACAGCATTAGTTTTTGTATAGATGGTGTCGCTAGAGACAAGTTTGCTCGTGTGCCTAATCTGGCAGTGTCAAGACACACTGAGTGGGAAGGGGGAAGGAGCGGCTGATGCCTCCCTTGGGAGCGACCTGAACGTCTACCTCCAAGAAGGTCCTCCTCGCTGGGAGTCATCAAAGGAAGAGGCGTGTGACCCCTGTATTCCCCCTCCCCCTTTTATGATTTTTAGGGTCGCCTGGGTGAAACACTGCAAAGGAAAAGACCTCTCTCAATGGACCCGGGGTTGCAAACTGTGATTTCCATGACGGCCGAAGCCTCAGCACTTCTCACCACGCTTTCCTGCTGGAAGGAGACCTCACCGCTCTCAGGGATCATCCACGCATTTGCACTCCACTTAGTTGCATACGAATTTGAGAAAGTTGTCGTTTGAGACGCTTCTGTGCGGGGGAGGGGGGGAGCAGGCTTTTGCTTTGGGTTGAGGGCTCCTCTACTTCAAAACCTTCAATAAATCGAGTGCAACCACATCCACATGTTGTATTTTGATGAATGAATGAGAGGGGATTGAAGTCGGGTTGCCAGGTCCTCCCTGGACAGCAGCAGGGGGTGGGGTTGCCAGCTCCAGGTTGGGGAAACTCCTAGAGATTTGGGTGTGGAGTCTGGGAAGGAGGGCTGACCTCCACCCCTCCTGCCCTGACTTCATTCACTGCAACGAGCAGGAAGAGGACAATGAGGCCCAGAGCCTTCATCACTGCAACCTTCTGGAAGATGTTGCATGCAATCGATCAGTCCCTGGTGGCTTTTATAGCCCAGAGCTCTGAGCAGAAAATGAAGGTTTGATGGAATTTCCAGCTTTTATCTCCCCAACAGCTGGGAAGGAGAGGTATAGTTCTCACAGACCACTGATAAGGAGAGAAGATTTACGTGGTTCTGCGCAGCAACAGCAGGGGGGACTCACAGGAATGAAGTACATTCCTGGATGCTGGCTGTGTGCTTCTTCACTCAATGAGTAATGAGACTGTGGGATTCACTGCCAGTGGAGGTAGTGATGGTCGTGGGCATAGATAGCTGTAGAAAGGCCTTAGGCTCATGGAGGAGTGGTTTATCCATGGCTACTAGCCATGACGACTGATGGGAGCCTCCATATACAGAAGATACTACTGAAGTCAAATCTAGTTGTTCTACTGCCGGCCGACATGGTTACCCTGTGAAACTATTCTTAACAGGTGATTGTGGGAGCATAACAAGCAAGCTGACTTATTTAGGGATAGGAACGGACCTGGAAAATAGAGGTTCATCCCTATTTGTGGGGTCTCACGAATCACGAACAGAATGGCCTACATTTGCAACCCCTGTATCAAGGCCAGCATCACTCTTCATAACGCAGAGCTCCTACACTGGAGGCAGGACCTCTGCAAAGAAGATTATGGCTACTGTGGAATCAAGCCTCTTAAAATCAAAGCATAGAGATGTATGTAAATCTTAGTCCCAGAGTGTGACAATAGAAGGCTGGGGATGGGGGAGGGAGAATAAATGTTCTGGTAGATGGTAAGCATGGCCCTGGAAGTACTTATGTGGGTTTGGCCAGTAAACTCACACCAATTTGTATAAAAGCACATAAAACTTTATTTACAAAAACAAAGGACGAACAATGCATAGATAAGGGAAAGAATGTACACAGTTTAGTAAGGAATGCAAACCTAAAAAAAAAACCTAGCTGGCTATTCTACTTACTACTTTTCCTATAAGGCACATAGCTCTGGCATCTCTACTGGCATTCCTGATGAGCAGAATCTCTGGAAGCATAGCAGCAGGGTAGAAGTTGAAGAGAGCTTCAAGGCAGTCTCTTCTCTCTCTGAATCTTCTTAAGCTGTCTATTCTACATAGGTGTACTTAACCATTTAGCCAATAGAAAGCTGTTACCAGGATAGATCTCTAAATTGCATGCTGTTAACCACTTTATATGACAGTTCTCAGCTGCTGCAAGTTAATCACTTCTGGCAGCCTAAGCATCAATTCTGAGAACAAGCCAGCAGGTAGGGTTGATGACTTCTATAATCGAGAAAGCTAATACTTAGGCAGAAAAACTCTCTTAAAGGATACCAATTTCTTGACACAGAGTTAGAAGGGATCCTAGAGGTCACTTACTCCAACCCCCCTTGCTCAGTCCAGGAATTAGTCAACTACAGCACCCCACTCTGCTTAAAGGAGCATACGCCTTTTTTAAAAAAAAGCTTTTACAGGAGAAATTCTTGTGGGGCTGTGCCTTTAAGAAAGGGGGAAGAGCCTCCCAAAGCCCCACTGTAGCTACAGGCCTGCTCCAATCCCCTGTAGTGCTGGTCACACAAGGCTACCATCTGGCCTGACCTGTCCTACATGGCCATGAGTCTCCTCTCCTGTCCTCCCACCAGTGTCCATAGTGAATGGGTGTTCTCCCACCTGGGAGACATCCTCAGCCCTCACCACTCACACCTGGACCCAGCCTTGGTGGATGAGTTGGCCTTTCTCAAGGTCACCCTCTCCCTGTTGGGCTACTCCTCTCTGGACCTTGGGTTAGGGTTCTTTACCTTGATGGAGGGACACACATTCAGACCTATGAAATCTCTGTTACCAGAATAATTGGTGGAATTGATATGGCTATACCTATGGCCCATCACTAATACCAGCAATACAATTACAAATATACAAGGAAACAACATCTGGTTTTAATATATGAGTACTAAAGATCTTGTATACAGGTTTATGAATGTGTGTCTATACTATATTGATAATTGTGACCACTGAGGAAGGCCTTTAGGGGCCGAAACGCGTTTGGTCTTCAGTAGGAAAGTGTTTACCCATCATATGTATATTTGATAAGTTTTTATAAGTCTGATACTTAGATAAAGATTTTTATCAGTATATGTTTTAACATGTGTACACCCTAATAAATATTTGTACTTTTATAATATACATTGTTAGCTTAGCCCTTTGGTTCACAGTCTTATCTTGGGTTGAGTTTCTCCCCCCCCCCCTTTTTTCCAGTTTCTGAGGGGAAGTGCGCCAGGCCACCGTCCCAAACCTTGTCACTAGGGGGTGGTGGGTGGGTGACTGCCTTCTGAGCCCGAGGGGAAGGGTTGGCCAGTGGCCACCCCCAGAATCCATGTCCACAACTGGGTGACCACTTTCCAGGCATGAGGGGGAGTGCGGTAGGCCATCCCCCCAAACCCTGTAATCAGGGCTGTGAATTCCCCAGAGAGCACTTTCCTGAGGGCACCACCATCCCCCTTTGCACTTTGGACCCTAAATTCTTCGACTTCTGTGCCTCTGGGCACCCACCCACAAGGCTTCGCATCATCAGATGCCCTTGCTGCACCTGCCCATCAACTTGGTTTTCCAACTTAGCACCCCCTCCTGCACTAGACCTCCCCCCCCTTTTGTAGAGGGGCATCCTGAGGAAGTCCACTGTGAGTTTGATGCCTCTAGCTTGCAAGGGGTCTGTTTGACGTACTCCTGAACCTGTGGCTGCTATGATTTCACCAGCGAGCACTTTCTGGGGGCACCTGTTTTGGAGGGCTGTAATTTGACGCCCCTAAATCCAATCTTTTTTTTTAACAGTTTATTTAATGTTTCCATAAAAATACAGCCAAGTGCTTTTAAATATATAACATTTGAGTCTACTTTTCCTCTTTTCTTTTTAACCATTCATAAACTCTTGACCATCTGTTTTTAAATACATTCTTGTCTTTACCATGCAATATCATTGTTAAGCTATCCATTTCTGCCACTTCTAACAGTTTATATTGTAAATCTTGTATTGTAGGCAAATTATTAGATTTCCAACATTTAGCAATCAAAATTCTTGCTGCCGTTACAATATAGGTCAGCAAATAATTATCGTTTGAATTTAACCCATCCGGTATCATATTTAATAAATATACTTCTGGAGCTAGATCTAACTTAATTGTTAATATTTCTGCTATTAACTTTTGGACCTCTTTCCAAAATCTATAGATTTTTTCACAGCTCCACCACATATGTATAAAAGAGCCCACATTATCCTTACATCTCCAACAATTCTTAGATATGTTAGAGGAACATTTTGTTACCCTGTCCGGTGACCAATACCATCTGTAATACATTTTTATAATATTTTCTTTATAAGATGTAGCTTTCAAGAATTTTATTGATTTCCATGTTTTATTCCATTCATCTATTTGAATAGTATAGCCAAAATCTTGCATCAATTTTAACATTACCTTTTTAACATTCTCTTCTACCATAAGGTCTTCTAAAAAAAATTATATACTTTTTGAATTGCTTTATCATTTGTTGAAAGCCATATTTTATCTAATTCATTTTTACTTCCATAAACCCCATTTTTTTGTCTTTACTAAATCTGGAACTTAATTGATTTATCTCCCATATTGTTAGCTTAATATCTTTTTGTACCATCTCTATATCCTTAAGATTATTGTTTTTATCCAGTAAGTTATCGTATGTTTGCTTTTTCTCATTGGTTATCATTGTTGGCATAATAAATGCTTCTAATGGTGAAACCCATCTAGGAATTTTATCATAAAATTTATCTTTTATTTTCTTCCATACTTTAAATAGTGGGCCTCGTATGTAATGGCTTTGAAAATTGGGATGTACTTTCTCTTTATTATACCATATATAAGCATGAATTCCCATGTATAAATCGTGACAGTCCAACTTTAACACCCTTTGATTTTCCAAAGTCAACCAGTAATCCAGGTAGCCGCTGCCGCTTGGTAGTAGCAATACCAATTTGGTAATCCTAATCCTCCTTTATCTTTCTTTTCTTGAAGCAGTTTCCATTGTATACGGGCTTTTTTGGGATACCATATAAATTCTCTGATATTTTTATCTAGTTCTGCAAAATATTTATTATTATTTAATACTGGAATATTTTGTGCCACGAAAAGAAAATGGGGAAGAATGTTCATCTTTACCGCCGCAATCCTACATTTAAAGGAATGTTAATGGTCATTTCCCCAAACTGGGAGTAAGACACTGCCTGTTACTGTTATATGTTAATGATGCTGTCCTTCTGGCACTTTCAAAGGTTGGGATGAAAAATATGCTAATGCACTTTTCAGTATACTGTGATAAGAACCTGTGATCCCTTAATTTTGATAAGTAAAAAATTATTGTGTTCGGTCGGAGTTGGAAACCCTCTAAATGGACTGTTCGAGGAAATCCTATCGAACAGGTGAAGAGTTTCCGATATCTTGGTATACATTTCCATTACAATGCTAACTGGGTCTCCCACATTAAGGAGGTTGTAAAATCAGTGAATATGAATAAACTTGCAATTTACCGTTTTTATTATACGAAAGGAAATCAATTTATTCCTGCTGTTCTCAAGGTGTTTAACCACAAAATGTGTGCTAAATTACTCTACGGAGCCCCAATTTGGATCTCTGCTTTTGATAAAACAGTTGAAGGAGTCCAATCCAAATTTCTTAGGAAAATTCTAGGGCTCCCAACTTGTGTACCTTATGCAGCAATATGCCTTGAGACAAACCAGAGTCGCTTAGTCACTAAAGTGTGGCTTGCAACTATTAAATTTTGGCTGCACCTCCTCTATAGAAGTGAGCCTAATAGTCTCATCACTTATCTGCTATATGAATCTCAGCTATTAGATTGGTTGACAAGTGTTGAAGGGAAAATTACACTGATGGGGCTCAGCATGGATGATTTGATCCCCCTCAGCTGTGTTATATGGGAGTTTAAAAAAAAATACAATTCCCAGATAGGTTATGTCCCTGTGAACTAAAAGCGATTGAAGGAATGGACCATGTATTGCTGACCTGTAGATTTTACCAGGATTTACGTGCTTATCACCTTGCCCCTATACTGCGATCCCTGGAGGGCAAATCTGAGGAAAGTAAGTTAATGAACCTTCTAGCCTCAAACAGGGCTGATACCATCGAAGCGGTGGCAAACTTCCTTTACAGAGCGTATAGGAGGAGAAGTTCTTTTTCGGCAGAAGGGGTAGTGAATTAACTGTTTTGCTTGTATGCCATTTTTGTACCGAAGGCTGCTGCTGCTGTTATACCAATAAAGGTTTATAGTGTTGTGTTGTGTTGTGTACTCATTGAGTGAAGAAGCACACAGCTAGCATCCAGTAATCTACTTAATTCCTGTGAGTCCCACCTGCTGTTGCTGCCCAGAAAGACGTAAATCTTCCCTCCTTATCAGCTGCCTGTGAGAACTGAACTGCTCTTTCCCAGCTGTTGGGGAGATAAAAGTTGGAAATTCCAACAAACCTTCATTTCATGCTCAGAGCTCTGGGCTATAAAAGACACCGGGAACTTATCCGCTGCCTGCAGCATCATACACAAAACTGCAGTGATGAAGGTTCTGGGCCTCACTGTCCTCTTCCTGCTCATTGCAGTGAATGAAGCCAGAGTCTTTGAAAAATGCGAACTGGCTAGGCTCCTGAAAAGTCATGGTCTGGATGGATACCGAGGATACGCCCTGGCCAACTGTGAGTTGGTTCTCCCACTCTTCCTCCCTCTCTCTTTCCTGTTACCAGTTCTGAAGACAGAATGAGCTCCTCTACTCTGTCAGCCCAGATGCACTTGAAGTGAGGGATCCCCCTGGATTGAGCTCTTCAGAAAAGAGAAGATCAGTGACAGCACTGCATGTCATGATCTGGGTCTGGAGATGTTTCTTTGTTGATGGGCTATGTGTCAAACTTGAGTCCTTGTTTGCCATGGATTTCATATGTTCTGTTTTCACTGCCTCTACTGTACCTTTGTGGCATTGTTCTTTCACACTGGGGGGATAGGGAGGCAGACTGTGTGTGGGTCTGTGTGAATGGCTATGACTGCTTTGCCACACTGATTTGCAACTGTTTTCCAAGTGGGTCTCCCGACACTGGGAAGAATGTACAATGACCTTGACTCCCAGCCTCTGCTAGCCGGCTTCTAGCAGATAATGTAACTGTAGATTTGCAAGTGGGATGGAGGAGAGCTAATGGAATGTGCTAGGTTTAGGTGGGCTTTATGAATTGATTGATTGGACGTTACTGTGGGGAACTTGTTTGAATCATGTATAATGTCGGAACTGGCACTCAAAAAGTCAGTTCTGACACAGATTGGTCTTAGTTTGATACATTCTCATATCTCAGTAAACAAATCACTGCAAAGAGAGTGTTGTTGAGAGCAAGTTTGTTCAAGAGTCTGACACAGTGTCAGAACTCCTTCACTACCTCGACCTATCGCACCACTGCCATGATGACTGAAGGAGACAAGGACCATGGGACCGGGATTGGGACTCAAACTGATGACCTGGCCCAAGAACCTCCAGTCCCAACAGACATGGGGAAACCTTGAGGCAAGGGGGCAAGTCCAAAGGAGCAGTGACCTGCACAACTGAGATGGGACAATCCTGACTGGTTGGTGACCCCCCAGCCCTAAAGTTCAGTGGAGTCAGCAGGAGGCCAACTGTAGACGGGTCTCAAGAACATTCCATGAAAACCTTTGGGTGGCTGGGATGCTGGCCAAAGAACCTGACATCGAGTGGATCTGGCAGGAATTCCGGAGTGAACCAGACTAACTGTGGCAGGATACCAGAGCAGCCCTGGCGGACCTCCCGGCCACCATCTAGGAGGCTTTGCAGCAGGAGCTCCAAGTCTGGGGAGGTGGACCCACCCAACACATCCCCGCAGGCCCAGTAGACCCCCCAGGAGGCCCAGCACTGCAACCTGAGCCACAACCCCAGCCAGCACCCCAGCCTGGACCACCCCCTGTGCTGGCAAGACCAAGAGAAGCATGGGAAGCTACGTTTGATGGAACACAGGAGAAGCTGGCATTCTTTGCACTGCAGGTCCAGAAGTTCCTGAGAGAATGGGGCCACACCTTCTCCTCAGATGAACATTGTGTGGATTTCGGGGGGGGGGGGGTTCTCGGCTCAGGGACAGACTGGTTTGTAGGACTGTACAATGCGGGGGGGGGGGGCTGGGCTTTGAGACATGGATGCCTTCATGCGGGCCCTCTGCCAACAATATGAGGATCCCCTGGAGCTGAAGTGGGCCAGGATCCGCCTCCGAGGTCTGAAGCAGGGCAACCGCTCCGTCCGGGAGTTCTCAGAGTAATTCAAGACGCATGCGGCTAAGCTCTGGGGTGACCAGAAGAGATGCTTATTGAGTTTTACTGGGTGGGCCTGAATCATTCCATCCTGGATAAGGCACTGGCCCAAGACAACACCCTAACCTTGAGCAGCAGGATACAGGTGGCCTGTGAGGTGGGAAACCGGTGCAACCTGTTGAAGATGTACCATACCAATCCCACCGTGAAAGCACAAGGGGGTGAGGCGAGGGGCCAACAGAGCTGGGCCCAGGAGTCCAGAAGTGATCAGGAGCAGAGGATGCAGCAGGGATCCTGCCTGAGATGTGGGGCCCCTAGGCATTTTGCCACCAACTGCCCACATGAGAAGAGCCCCAGCAAAGCAAAGAAAGAGGACTGCAAGGGGTCAGAGAAGAGGAACAAGCCTCTCGGGAGCTGCCCCAAGCCATCCAAAGCTCTCCAGTTGTGGGAGCGGGAGGAGCTGGAAGGTGTTTCATCCAGCAAGGAGGAGCTGCAACAGCTGGTGGGAAAAGACTGGGACCTGCTGTGAAGGGTGCTAAGTGGCAGGTCTGAAAGTCTCCATGCCAGAATCGGTAAGATTTACATGACTATGACTGTGGTCAACCCCACCCTTGTCATACACGTCAGGGTGCAGGCTCTCATTGACTCGGGGTGTGCCCGGGACATAATTAGCCCGGCCCTGGTGATGGGGATGGGAGCTAAGGTACACGAACTAGAAGAACCCGTGGTCTTTTACCAAATGGATGGGACACCAGTGAAGGGGGAGCCGTGCATGTACAGCACAATGCACATGCCCGTAGGGGTGGGCTCCCACTGGGATCTGTGGTACTTTGTCGTAAACCATTTGGCCAAGTTCCTGAGGGTTTTGGAGAGCCTTTGGCTTTGGACCCACAATCCCTATGTCCAATGGAGTGTGGGAGTCCCGCAGTTTCTGGATCCCCACTGCAAAGAGCATAACTGGGACCCAGAGTGGGGGAAGGTACCGCGGCCGGGGCCAGAGTGGGTCTGCCTGGCCTGAGAGGAGTTAAACAGCATTCCCCCCAAAATACAGAGACTTGGCCAAGGTGTCTGAGGAGGGGGAAGAGGATGAACTCCCCCCTCACTGAAAGACTGACTGTGCTATTGAAATTCTACTGGGTCACAAAATGCCTAAGGGGAAGCTGTATTCCATGAGCCAGACTGAGAAGGAAGAGTTGCAAAAGTTCGTTGAGAAAATCTTGGCAAGGGGATTTATCTGGCCCAGCGGCCTCCCCTTTCACTGTCCCAGTGCTGTTCCATAAAAAGTGTTGAAAAAATGTGTTGAAAAAATTCACTGAGACTGAGAGGAATTGGGTGGTATGGGATAAGGAAGCCGCTGCCATTAAATTGGCTCTAACCACTTGGAGACATTGGTTAGATGGAATCAGGGTGCCATCAAGTTATGGACTGATCATAAGAACTTGGAGGCATTATGCACCCCTAGGCGACATTGGGTGAGTTTTTCTCTAAGTTTCAGTTTACCCTCAAGCACCTCACAGGGAAGTCTAACTTTCTTGCTGATGCACTCTTGCGTCTTCCTCAGCATGCCAGTTGGTGGGAGGAAGTCATTGATTCAATGTTTACCCCAGCCCAACTGGGGGGGGGGGCAGTTCTCACACAGAGTTGAGCTAAGGCAGAAGGGCCCCTCAGCATCGAGCCCTGGGTGGAGAAGTTCAAAACTGCCTTCACCGATAGCGATAAAGAGGAAATTGAGGGGTAGGGCACTCTCACCCAGAGGGAGAATGGATGCTGGTATCAGCAACAGAAACTATTCATGCCCCAGACCTTGTGCGTGGAAATTTTGCAATTGGGACATGACAATAAACTAGCTGGGCATTTTGAGTTCCTGAAGACTTTGCACCTTCTACAAAGATAATTTTGGTGCCCACACATGTGGGCTGACATTTCCCAATATGTCTGGAAAAGAGCAGGTAGAGAAAGAGGTACTTTTCTCCCTTTCTCACAATACAAGAACTCGTGGGCACTCCATGAAACTGCAGAGCGGTCGGGTTAGAACGGATAAAAGGAAGTACTTCTTCACCCAAAGAGTGATTAACACATGGAATTCACTGCCACAGGAAGTGGTGGGTGCTACAAGCATGGATGGCTTCAAAAGGGAATTAGATAAGCATATGGAGCAGAGGTCCATCAGTGGCTATTAGCCACAAGGTATAGCTAGGGACTCTGGGGCAAGTGATGCTCTGTCTTCTTGGTGCTTGGGGGGGGTCAACAGTGGGAGGGCTTCTAATGTCCTGGCCCCACTGGTGGACCTCCTGATGGCACCTGGTATTTCTGGCCACTGTGTGACACAGAGTGTAGGACTGGATGGGCCTTTGGCCTGATCCAACATTGGCGTCTCTTATGTTCTTATGTTCTTATGTCTCTTATGTCTCTTCTTGACAAATCAGCTTGATAATGTAACTGTAGGTTTGCAGGTGGGGGGGAGGAGAACTATCAGAGCACACTAAGTTTAGGCGGGCTGTATGAATGGATTGATTGGACCAGTTTCTGGGGGGAGCTTATGTGAATCATGTATAAAGTCAGAACTGGTGCCCAAAAAGTCAGTTCTGACACCGATTGGTTTGATACGTCCCCATCTCTCAATAAACAAATCACTGCAAAGAGAGTGTTGTTGATAGGAAGTTTGTTCAAGAGTCTGACACTATGTTTTAATGGGGGTCTACCAAACTTTCTGTAAGGTAGATGGAGTAAATCAGGAAAAGGAAGATGTTTAAAGATCCTTCAAGAGAGGAACACTTGAATGCTAACAAGAGGCACAGATGTCTCCCAGTGTGACAGTATTGCCTACTCTAAGTTACACAATGTTATATTAAGGAAGACGGCAAGGTATGCAGTGGTACGCTCCAAAATGAAGGGAAGGGTAGGAAACAGGAAGGAAGCCATTTGACTGTTGACTGTTGAATTTCTAAATGTCTGCACAGTAGGGGTGCTGAAGTGCCAAACAAGGAGCATTAGAATTTGTTCTTACTGGGGGGAAAATGGAGATAAGAAGCAGAAGGGATGATGAAAGATAAGTGCTCGACAAATAACTGTTAGTGATTCCTCTTTCAATCCTAGATGCAAATTTAGTTGCCTTTCGATAGGCATTCTGCAAAGGGATAGCTGTAGAATGTTTTAAGGGTTGAAGGGTATGATTTAGCTAACAATAACCAACGAAGGGATAGAACCCAGTTTGAGTCCAGTGGCTCCTTTAAGACCAATAAAGTTCTCTTTAAGGTGTAAGCTGTCGTGTGCACGCACACTTCTTAAGCTTATACCTTGAATAAAACTTTGTTGGTCTTAAAGGTGCCACTGGAATCAAACTTACCAGACCAACACGGCTAACCCACCTGATCTTTTTCTATTTCATAGCTTGAAAAGAAGTGCAAACACTTTCTTGAATGGAAATGGCAGGATTCCCCCACCACCCACAGTAACCCCTCCGTTTTTGCCTTTTCTCTGATCTCTTTGTGCCAGGGGTCTGCCTGGCTTACTATGAAAGCAGTTACAACAGCCGAGCTGTGGGGCCGCGAAACAGCGATGGCAGCCGGGACTACGGGATTTTCCAGATAAACAGCCGCTGGTGGTGTTCCAATGGCCAAGGCACAACGTCTAATGGCTGCAACAAATCCTGCAGCAGTAAGTTCCGCTTCTTAGCACTTGTGAGATCAGTAGCCTTTCATGACCCCTGAATAGGAAAGTGGCTGTTTAGGCTAGTAACATTCAGAACTCTGTTGAATCTTCTGCCCTTGACATCTTGAAGATGAAAGTTACAGTTGGCCCCGGAGAAGAATATTTCCTGAAACACCAGTTAACTCTAAGAATGTTCACTTGATATTAGTCCTTTACAGTCCTTTCCTTTTGCTCTACCTCCTGTTTCTTCAGCATTGTCCCTTTCCTTCTTATTTATTCATTTAGAAACCTTATGTGCGGCCTCTCCAGGGATCTGCTTGAAGGGGCTCAAACAAAACTAGACCATCGAGTCAAGAGAAGCTGATATTGCCATAGCTACTTCCAGGATCCATCTCATTGGCAGTGTCCAGCGGACTGCCGATCATATGATGAATGGAACGATGACCTAGTACTTCATAAGGAATCAGATTGGTCTACATGTGGATATTACTAAAGGGCAAAGGAAGTCAATTCAAAGGGAGGGCAATACTTCCCGAGGAAGTGGTCCCTGTCAAAGTGATCCTGGTCAAACTAATAAAAGGACCTTTCATCAATGTCAAAAAATGTTCAGGGATATTATGGATACATTGGGGAGATCCCTAATATAATACGAGCTTTTAAGCCATCAGTCAGGAAGATACAAACTCCCAGTGAACTGAGAATATGTTAGTCCTTAGGACACAGGCTAGATACTAAAAAAATTCATGTTAGATCAAGAGTGTGACGTGTCCAGTATACTACAGCCCTTTTTTTTAAAAAAAAGATTTCACATTCCTTAAATATGCACAATGTCCACATGCAGATACAACCAGGAAAGGACAAATCTGGAAATGGGATGGCTAAATTCTGGAGATTTGGGACTTCTTTTAAGGCATTGATCAAATGTTTTAGATTGGCCTTAGTATTGCCAGCAAGAGAAGAACTTATGTCCACCAAAGGCCAAACAAATCCTCCATAGGGAATGTAAATGCTTAAAGTGTAAATGAGGAATGTCCAGCAGATGAGTAAACACTGCATTTATCAGCGAAACTGTGTCTACTAACAAGTGGGGAAGACCTGAATATCCACGTTATTTGGGTGTATTGATGTCCAATATGAATGAAATGTTGTCTATTTGATGTACTTATTTGATATCAAATAGCCCTGGATACTCACATCAGAAGAATTCCTTTGCCAGCTCACCTCAAAGGATTGGACAGTCCAGCATTTTGATCCCCCCCACCCAGCTGCCTCTGGGAACTTCCCAAGGAGGTCACACAAGTCACAATGGCCTTCTGCTACTCTTTATTCTCAGCCCTTCTGCCTCTGAAGTCCATTCAGCTTTTATGGCTTATCGGTTTTAGAAACTGAGCTGGTAGATGCCACCATATCTTGTGGTGGTTGTGACTTGCAGTGTTTGAGGTGTGTTATGAGCAAAAAAAAATCCCTCCTGCTGTCCACCTCGATAATCTGTCAGCCTTAAATTTCATCATGATACATGGACTTAGATAAAAAGTCAACAACCGATTCCCTTTCTGCACCCCACTGCATTCAGTCCTCTTTTTCTTGCTTTCTGACGTGTCTTATCAGGTTTCACTAACGATGACATCTCTGACGACATTGAGTGTGCCAAAAGAGTCGTCCGTGACCCCAACAAGATGGATGCTTGGTAAGTTGGCCTCTCCTTCTCAGCATCTCCCTGGTTGTCAGCTTCACCAGCCGCTAAGGATCTCCAAAGTGGGCACCCAGGAGCTGTTGTTCCTACCAGCCGTCATGCATCACAAACCAACCATCTTGCTACAGAAATGCCTAGAGAGATCACCCTCTCTAAACTAGACAATCCGCCAAACAGTGCTCCCACTAAAATTGGAGGATTGCTCTTAGATCTTCCAAGGGAAACATGGCTGTTTCCCCTTCTTTGTTAATCTCCTCCTATTTAAAACAAATGTATAAGACAAATATTTACACCGTTCTGTAGACATGAGGGTTCAATAACGACACACCACAACAGATTTCTTGAAGCTTCCTGACCAGCTCTCTGTCATCTCTGTCTCTCTGTACCAAATTGTTTGTTCTGTGAAAAGTGCTCGAAAACGTGGAGTGATTCAGCAAAGAGTACTTTATTAGATCAGAACAAAGACAAGGAAACCAGCTCGCAGGCCGGTTTATATGCGTTCAGAAAACCCGCCACCAAGCACACCTAAACACACACCCTACTCCCGATAGGCTATTTACAGTAACCGGGCGACCATTGGTCTCCCGGCTGGGAAACTAGCCCTTTTGATTGGGCCGGCTAGGATCCTTCGGATCCTTTGTCTTTCGACCGAAGCTACAGATGGATTGTGCCTGGCCAGCCCGGGCAAGTCCGGGCATGTCAGGCTGAATGCATTACACGTGGTAATGGCGGCAGTACATTACATTCTGACAGGTTGTCAGCAGTGTTTTATTCAGAGAAAAAGCAAGCTCACACTTTGTACAGTGAAATCGTTACCCTTAGAAGCTTCTAACTAGAAACACACTGTGTTCTTCTCACAGCCCATATTATCTTCGAATGTTGCAAAGCTTGTGCTCTCAGTAATTCATTGTGCTCTCAGTAATTCATCAGACTCATGCCGAATCAGAAAGACCTTGTGCATTTGCCAAGCCAATCTCCCAGTGAGAACTTGAGATCGCCTGGGCTTGCCTCACGGGAGTCTCTCGCTCTCCACACCGTTCACCTACTGGAGTCCTTAGGCCATGCAGCCGACACCGTAACAGTGTTGCTCAGAGTGATAAGATGCATCCTTACAACTCATCAGCTATGGTGAAAGGCTGGTCCTGGTCCACGCAGTCCAAGTGCAACCACCAAATGCCCCGAGCATACACCCTTGGCACGTTCGACTAGACATGTAACAAGGCAGTGCCTTGGCTGTAGAGGTCTTTTTTTTTGTAAGGGAAGAAGAGGGGCTGTGGCTCAATGGAAGAGCCTCTGCTTTGCATGTCTCAAAAGTTCCCAAGTTGGATCCCTGGCATCTCCATTTGAAAGGACTGGGCAGTAGGTGATAGGAAAGACCTCCGTGCCTGTGACTCTGGAGAGCTGCTGCCAGTCCCAGTAGCCTACTATGACCCCGATGGACCAATGATCTGACTCAGCATTACATAGCGCTGTGTATGTTCCATGTGTGGAGGCGGACCCGCCTCCCAAGCCACCCTTCAGGGCTGCTGCCTTCGGTCTTCCCAGGCCCCAGTTGGGACGAGAACTCACATACCTGGCGTGGGGAGCTGGGGCAGAGAGACTGGACTGATGGAGCACGAGCTGCTGCCACCAGTCTCCTCTCAGTAGCAGCCCATCGCTAGAGTGCATGGTTCACACGCACAAGTTCTCAAGCATGATCCCCAGTAAAAATGATCTCAACCTGTAGGGTTGCGGGAGAGCTTTTCAGACCCAGTTTGATATCTTTCTCTTTCCAATATTCAGGTATGGCTGGAAGAACAACTGCAAAGGAAAAAACCTCTCCAAATGGACCTCCGGCTGCGGAGTCTGAATTTCCCCTCCTGAATAAAACTCTTCATCATTGCAATTTGTCTTTAATGCGCTCTTTTCGTTTCTTTGCTGAGTGTGTCCCCCCCCCCCAAAATGTGTGAAATGCTCTTCCAATAACAAGCTGCCACATAGTGTAAGTGGAGGCTCACCTGACTGGTTCTTCCTTATTACCAAAGAAAGGAAAAAAGGAAAAGGAGGAAATCCCCACCCATGGAAAACTAATGTCTCAGGGAGAGGGGCTAGAATTCTTCTTCTCCTCCCTTGATTCTGTAGTCTTCTGGAGGAATCTCAGTGGGCGAGATTCCAGGCCAGGCGTTTTCAACCTTTTTGAGCCTGCAGGGACCTTTGGAACTGTGGCACATGGCAGGGGGAACTATCACAAAATGGCTGCCGCAGGAGGTGGAGCCAGCCACAAAATGGCTGCCGCAGGAGGTGGAGCCAGCCACAAAATGGCTGCTGCAGGAGGCGGAGCCAGCCACAAGATGTCAGGGAGCCAAGATTATATGTAGCTCTAGTAGTACCTCTTCAGCATTTCAGGCAGAAGCTCATCTTGACAGGATGACTTGCAATCTGCACAGCCAATCAGAAGTGCTGCCTGGCAAAAGCCCCACCTAGCCCCTCCCACTTTCTAAAAGCACTCAGCAGGCACCAGGAAAGGGGTTGGTGGGTGCCATGGCTCCTACGGGCACCACATTGGAAACCCGTATCCTAGGCAGTCCAGGTTAATATCATAACTTGTGAATAAAATGGTTTTTTAATAACTAAAAGTATATTGTAGGAAAACACCAATAGCGGGAAACCAATCAGCAGCCAGAGAGTCACAGGCAGTATTACCAGGTAAATCACTAAAGAGTACATTATGAGCTACTTCCATGCTTACACAAGAACCTTTGCATTCTCGTCTGAGGAACGGGTGCAAGACTGAGCAACTTTGGCACCGCCTGATAGTGTCTGTCCATGATGTCACAGTGCAATACCCACCTCATAAAGCAAGATCTACCACATAGTGCAACATCCACCCCTTGAACCAAAATCTACCTTGTAGTGCAACACCCACCAAATGAACCAAGATCTACCTCAAAGCACAACAGCTACCTCATGGCCCAACATCCACCTGTGCAAACCTCTACCTCATCATACATCCACCCGTACAAGCCAGCTCGTTTGACTGCACCCAAGATTTCCCATCTACAATAACACTCTTGACTAGTGTTCCCTCTAAGGTGAGTTAGTGTGAGCTAGCTCACAGTTTTTAGCCTCTTGTTCACAGATTTTTGTCTTAGCTCTGGAAGGATGGCTCCAGAGCAAACTAATTGATGCAGTAGCCAAATCGCTCGCTCACAACTGTAATGCCAGTAGCTCACAAAGTAAAATTTTTGCTCAGAAGACTCCACAGCTTAGAGGGAGCATTGCTCTTGACAATGATGAGGAGGGTGGTTGACTGTCTCCTGGGCCTGAGGAGAAGGGTTGGCCACCCCCAGAATCCATGTCCACAACTGGGTGACCACCTTCCAGGCATGTGGAGAAGTGTGCTGGGTCACCCCCCAGAACCCTGGCACCAGGGCTGTGAATTCCCCAGAGAGCACTTTCCTGAGGTCAACACCATCCCTTTTTGCACTTTGGACCCTAAGAGCATCGACTTCTGTGTCTCTGGGCACCCACCTGCCAGGCTTTGAATTATCAGATGTCCTTGCTGCACCTGCCCGTCAACTCAGTTTTCCAACTTGCCAAACCCTCCTGCACTAGACCTCCCCCCCCCCTTGTAGAGGGGCATCCTCAGAAAGTCCACTGTGAGTTTGATGCCTCTAGCTTGCAGGGGGTCTGTTTGACGTACTCCTGAACCTGTGGTTGCTATGCTTTCACCATAGAGCACTTTCTAAGGGCACCTGCTTTGGGGGACTGTAACTCGACCCCCCTAAATCCAACCTTCACCAAACTTGGAGGGCCGGTAGAGGGGAGAGAGCTGGAGAATCACGGTGAGTTTAGCATCTCTAGGCCACAGGGAGCATTCTACCATGCCACGAACCTCACGAACCATGAACCAGTTCAGTTAAATGTGAAGGTTCGTGAGACCCCACACGTGAAGGTTTGAGATTCGTGAGAAAATAGACATGAACCTCTATTTTCCAGGTTCGTGCCTATCCCTAAATAAGTCAGCTTGCTTGTTATGCTTCCACAGTCACCTGTTAATAATAGTTTCACAGGGTACCCACGTTGGCCTGCAGTAGAACTAGATTTGACTTCAGTAGCATCTTCTGTATATGGCGGCTCCCATCAGTCATCACGGCTAGTAGCCGTGGATAAACCACTCCTCCATGAACCTAAGGCCTTTCTACAGCTATCTATGCCCACGACCATGACTACCTCCACTGGCAGTGAATCCCACAGTTTCATTACTCATTGAGTGAAGAAGCACACAGCCAGCATCCAGCAATGTACTTTGTTCCTGTGAGTCTCACCTGGTGTTCCTGCCCAGAAGCACGTACCGTAGGTCTTCCCTCCTTATCAACTGCCTGTGAGAACTGGACTGCTCTCTCCCAGCTGTTGGGGAGATAAAAGTTGGAAATGCCAACAAACCTTCTTTTCCTGCTCTGGGCTATAAATGGCACCAGGGGCCTGATCGAGTACATGCAACATCTTCCAGAACGTTGAAGTGATGAAGGTTCTTGGCCTCATTGTCCTCTTCCTGCTCGTTGCAGTGAACGAAGCCAAAGTCTTTGAGAGATGCGAACTGGCTAGGCTCCTGAAAAAGCAAGGACTGGATGAATATGAAGGATACGCCCTGGGCAACTGTGAGTTGGTTCTCCCTCTCTTCCTCCCTCTCTCTTTCCTTGCCATGGGCTGGGCTGTCCCCTGTTCTGAAGACGGGATGAGCTCCTACTCTCTGCCAGCTCAGATGCACTTGAAGTGAGGGAGCTCTTTGGATCGAGCTCTTCAAACTGGAGATCGATGACAGCACTGCATGCTGTGATCTAGGTCAGGAGATGTTTCTTTGCTGATGGGCTATGATTTCATAGGGGTCCACCAAACTTTCCGCAAGGTAGAAGAAGTAAATCAGGAAAAGGAAGTTGTTTAAAGACCCTTCAAGAGAGAAACACTTGAATACTAACAAGAAGCGCAGATGTCTCCCCGTGTGACTGTGTTGCCTACTCTATACACAACTTTATATTAAGGAAGGTATGCAGTGGTATGCCCCGGAATGAAAGGAAGGGTAGGAAACAGGAAGGAAGCCATTTGACTGTTGACTGTTGAATTTCTAAATGTCTGCACAGTAGGGGTGCTGAAGTGCCAAACAAGGAGCATTAGAATTTGTTGTTACTAGGGAGAAAAAACGGAGATAAGAAGCAGAAGGGATGATAAAAGATAAGTGCTAGATAAATGTTAGTGATTCCTCTTTCAATCCTTGATGCAAATTTAGTTGCCTTTCGATAGGCATTCTGCAAAGGGATAGCTGTAGAATGTTTTAAGGACTGAAGGGTATAATGTAGCTAACAATAACCAAGGAAGGAATAGAATCCAGTGGCACCTTTAAGACCAACAAAGTTCTATTCAAGGTGTAAGCTCTCGTGTGTGTGTGTGCACACTTCTGAAACTTAAACCCTGAATAAAACTTAATTGGCCTGAACGGTGCCACTGAACTCAAACCTTGTTCTGCTGTTTCAGACCAACACAGCTAACCCACCTGAAACTATCTTCAAAGAAGGAATGTCTGTAATGTTTTCCTATTTCATTGCCCTAAAAGAATGCAAACACTTTATTGTATGGGAATGGCAGGATTCCTCCACCACCCACAATAACCCTTCTCTTATTGCCTTTTCTCTGATCTCTTTGTGCCAGGGGTCTGCATGGCTTACCATGAAAGCAAATACGACACCCAGGCTGTGGGGCCACCAAACAGCAATGGCAGTCGGGCCTATGGGATTTTCCAGATAAACAGCCGCTGGTGGTGTTCCAATGGCCAAGGGACGACGTCTAATGGCTGCGAGACATCCTGCAGCAGTAAGTTCTGCTTCTTAGCACTTGTGAGATCAGTAACCTTTCATGACCCCTGAATAGGAAAGTGGCTGTTCAGACGAATAACATTCAAAACTCTGTTGAATCTTCTTCCCTTGAGATCTTGAAGAAGAAAGTTACAGTTGGCCCTGGTGAAGAATATTTCCTGAAACACCAGTTAACTCTAAGAATGTTCACTTGATATTAGTCCTTTACAGTCCTTTCCTTTTGCTCTACCTCCTGTTTCTTCAGCATTGTCCCTTTCCTTCTTATTTATTCATTTAGAAACTTTACAAGTGGAGACCCGCAAGAAACTTGCAGGATGGTTGTCCTATTCCTCACACTTTTTCTTCCTCCCCTCTCCCCCTACCTCTCTCACACTATTTTTCCTTTCTGCCCCCCTTTTCTTACTCTCTATCTCTTCTCCATGCATGTGACTTCCTCTCTGTTTCTGACCTGTCATCATTCTCTTTGTTCTTCTGTCGCCACCCCATCACTCTCTCTGCCCCCATCACTCTCCCAGCCTCCTGCCTGCTTCCTCCACCACCCTGCACAGGAGCAGCAGTAGTGGTGGTCTTCCCAGCCACCCATCGGCTTCCTCTCCCCCCACAGCAGCAGTGGCAGCGCTCTGGGAATCACAATGAATCTCCAACTACAGAGATCAATTCACCTTAGGGCTGCCCGCTCCAGGTTGGGAAATTCCTGGAGATTTGGGGGTGGAGCCTTGGAACAGTGAGGCTTGGGGAAGCAAGAAGCCTCAGCAGGGTATAATGCCATAGAATCAACCCTCCAAAGCAGACATTTTATCCCAGGTAACTGATCAGCCATTTTATCCCGGGTAACTGATTTCTGTCACCTGGACAGCAGTTGTAATTCTGGGTGATCTCCAGCTCTCACCTGGAGGCTGGCAATGGTAATTCTCATGGAGGAAATGGCTGTTTTGGAGGGTGGAGGAAATGGCATTATACCGGTCTGAAGTTCCTCCCCTCCTCAAATCCCACCCTCCCCAGGCTCCACCCCTCAAATGCCCAGGAATTTCCCAACCTGGAGTTGGCAACCCTATTTCCTTCCCACCCAACAGCCAACCTACCTTTATCTGCCTTTGTGTCTTCAGTTTTCTGTCTTCACCTCCCTCCCCCACAGCCTCTTTCTCCACAGTGTGGGACAAAGCAGCTTACATTATTCTGTCCTCCTTTCTATCTGCACGACAGCCCTGAGAGGTTGGTTAGGCTGAAAGTATGTGACTGGTCCAAAATCACCCAGTCAGCTTCCACCGCAAGATGGGGATCTGAACCTGGGTCTTGCAGACCCTGCTCTGAAGCTCTAACTGCTGCACCACACTGGCTTTCATAGGGTGGCTGCTGATGAACAGTAGCAAGCAGCTGGGCCTAGTTGAGTCATGCAAATCAGGTGGTATCAAGTCACTCAGAGGGTGCTGCCTAGGGATGCCAGCCTCCAGGTGGGACCTGGGGATCCCCTGGAATTACTGCTCATCTGCAGACTTCAGAGATGACTTCCCATGGAGAAAATAGATGATTTGGAGGGTGGAGTCTGTCAGTGGCTGGGGGGGATGGGACCTGGCAACCCTAGACTGCTACCAGGCCTAGGATTGCCAACCTCCAAGTGGGACCTGGAGACCCCCCCAGAATTACAACTGAACTCTAGGCAGCAGAGATCTGTCTCCCTGGAGAAAATGGCTGCTTTGGAGAGTGGACTCTGTGCCTAAGAGGGTGGGGTAGAAATCCAATAAATAAATAAATATTATACCCAGTTGAGGCCTCTCCCTTCCCCAAACCTAGCCCTCCTTAGAGTCCACCACAGAATCTCTAGGCATTCCTCAGCCTGGCACTGGCAACCCTTGTCAGGCCTGGCCCCAAGGATTCCTCCCTCAAAGGCCAAAATAGGCCAAGAAAGGGCCCTTCACCCTCGCCCTCCCTTTTACTGACAGAACCAGTTAGAAGCCCTTCTCTCCCCCCCCCCCCCAACACTCTAATTTTTCCCTTTTTGTCCCCAAGCGGATAAGTAGATTCCTGTGGAGGCCATTTCAAATGGTATTGAGGGAAAATTTAACTGTCCCTGAAGGTTTTTTTAAAAAAACCTTTTGGATTTTTCTGTAGTCCGAGAAAGGCCCCTGAGTATGTAGGAAAAGCCGTTGGGGGAGAGTGAGCTCTCTGTTGGTGGAAATAAGTATCCACACAGAAAAAGAGAGTGCCTATTAGATATATAGATGTGCTGCCCCTCCAGAGATCTGCTTGAGGGGGCTCACAACAAAACCAGACCATCAACTCAAGACAAGCCAGTATAGCCAGAACTACATCCAGGATCCAGCTCATTGGCAGTTCTCAGCAGATTGCTGATCATATGATGAATGGAATGATGACATAGTACTATATGAGGAATCAGATTGGTCTACATGTGGATATTACTAAGGGCAAAGGAAGTCAATTCAAAGGGAGGGCAATACTTCCCGAGGAAGTGGTCCCTGTCAAAGTGATCCTGGTCAAACTAATAAAAGGACCTTTCATCAATGGAAAAAAGTGTTCAGAGATATTATGGATATTATGGACAGGCTTTCAGCCATCAATCAGGAAGATACAAACTACCAGTGAACTGAGAAAATGTTAGTCCTTAGGATGCAGGCTAGATATAACTGCTTATGACTTTTAAAACAATCATGTTAGGTCAACAGTATTACATGTCCAGTACAGGTACAGCACTTTTTAAAAAAGATTTTGCATTCTCTAAATATGCGTGATGTCCACATGCAGATACAATCACAAAAGGACAAATCTGGAAATAGGATGGCTAAGTCCAGAAATGCTGGTGATTTAGGGCATCTTTTAAGGTAGTGACCAAATGTTATGGATTGGCCTTGGTCGGTTCCTGCCAGCAAGGGAAGAACTTATGTCCACCAAGGGCCAAACAAGTCCCCCACAGGGAATGTAAATGCTTAAAGTATAAATTAGGAATGTCCAGCAGATGAGTAAACACTGCACTGCACTGCAGTCATCAGCAACACTGTGTCTACTAACAAGTAGGGAAGACCTAAATATTCAAGTTATTTGGTTGTGTTGATGTCCAATATGGATGAAATGTTTATTTGATGTCCGTATTTGACATCGAACAGCCCGGTGTAACAGGCCGGATTAACCCCCCCGGCCAGAGTAACCCCAGGTTAATCTGGCCGGCTGTAACAGGCCAGATTCACCCCCCCGGCCAGAGTAACCCCGGGGTTACTCTGGCCTAGGCTAGAATAACCCCCCCATTCACCCCCCGGCCAGAGTAAACCCGGGGTTACTCTGGCCTAGGCTAGAATAACCCCCCCCAGGCCAGATTAACCCCCCAGGCCTGCTTTCTGGGGCTGCTGTATTTTCCTACTAAGAGAGATACTTCCCCAATAACAATAGAACACTCAAACAATCTCTTAGTAAGCTTGTCAATGACCAAGGCAACAACAGAGCATGCACTTTATCTTGGAAACAAGCATGATCATTTTGATGTTGTCATTAGTGTTTAGCTTTGAATAATTATATCTCTGTGGGTACTTGGTAGCCATCAAAGTAGAAGTTTCAGGATGTTATGACTTATATTACATTATGGACAGCTAAGTTAAGTGAACATCAAGTCTAATGTTTTTACTGTTGGTTTTTTTCCTGGTTGAAGTAATAAAATTCTACGTGTGCAGAGTTCTAAGACTGAAGTCAATCAGCTTTCTCATGTGACTTACCTGTTTGTCTCTGCTCTACCATTCCTTTCTTCCTTTCTTCCTTTCTTCCTTTCTTCCTTTCTTCCTTTCTTCCTTTCTTCCTTTCTTCCTTTCTTCCTTTCTTCCTTTCTTCCTTTCTTCCTTTCTTCCTTTCTTCCTTTCTTCCTTTCTTCCTTTCTTCCTTTCTTCCTTTCTTCCTTTCTTCCTTTCTTCCTTTCTTCCTTTCTTCCTTTCTTCCTTTCTTCCTTTCTTCCTTTCTTCCTTTCTTCCTTTCTTCCTTTCTTCCTTTCTTCCTTTCTTCCTTTCTTCCTTTCTTCCTTTCTTCCTTTCTTCCTTTCTTCCTTTCTTCCTTTCTTCCTTTCTTCCTTTCTTCCTTTCTTCCTTTCTTCCTTTCTTCCTTTCTTCCTTTCTTCCTTTCTTCCTTTCTTCCTTTCTTCCTTTCTTCCTTTCTTCCTTTCTTCCTTTCTTCCTTTCTTCCTTTCTTCCTTTCTTCCTTTCTTCCTTTCTTCCTTTCTTCCTTTCTTCCTTTCTTCCTTTCTTCCTTTCTTCCTTTCTTCCTTTCTTCCTTTCTTCCTTTCTTCCTTCCTTCCTTCCTTCCTTCCTTCCTTCCTTCCTTCCTTCCTTCCTTCCTTCTTGAACATTTAACTTACCACTCTGGCTAGGCGGGGGTTAGTATGGACCCTCAGAAGCTGACACTGTGCTGGCTACACTGACATCTAAGTTACCATTCAACTAAGCCCGGGGTTACAGGTTGTTGTGTTGTGCAGTTAAAAAGAAGAAGTTAAAAAAAGAAGTTAAAAAGAAGAAGAGATTGGATTCAGCTGACATTTAATTTACCACTCTGGCCAGGCGGGGGTTAGTATGGGCTAGCCCAGAGTAACCCCCCGCCTGGACTAACCCCCGGGGTTACTCTGGCCTGGCCCAGCAGGGGTTACTCTGGGCTAGGCCAGAGTAACCCCGGGGTTATTCTGGCCAGGGGGGGTGAATCTGGCCTGTTACAGCCGGCCAGATTAACCCGGGGTTACTCTAGCCTAGGCCAGAATAACCCCTCAATAACCCCTCCGGGGTTATTCTAGGCTAGGCCAGAATAACCCCGGGGTTACTCTGGCCGGGGGGTTAATCCGGCCTGTTACACCCTGGATAGTCACATCAGAAGAATTCCTTTGCCAGCTCGCCTCAAATGGTTGGTCAGTCCAGCATCTTGATTTCCCCTCCCATCTGCTTCTGGGAACTTCCCAAGGAGGTCATGCAAGTCACAACGGCCTTCTGCTACTGTTCGTTCTTAGCACTTTTGCCTCTGAAGTTCATTCAGGTTTTTAGAAACTGAGTTGATAGATGCTGCCATATCTCGTGGCTCTGACTCGCAGCGTTTGAGGTATGTGTTGTGACTGAAAAATTCCCTCCTGCCATCCACCTTGATAATCTGTCAGCCTTAAAGTTCCTCATGTGAGATGGACTTAGAAAAAAGTCAATAACTGATTCCCTTTCCACACCCCTCCACATTCAGTCTTTGTTTTAATTTTTGCTCTCTGATGCACCTTGTCAGATTTCCTTAATGATGACATCACTGATGATATTGAGTGTGCCAAAAGAGTCGTCCGTGACCCCAACAAGATGGATGCTTGGTAAGTTGGCCTCTCCTTCTCAGCATCTCCCTGGTTGTCAACTTCACCAGCTGCTAAGGATCCCCAAAGTGGGCACCCAGGAGCTGTTGCTCCTACCAGCCGTCATGCATAATAAACTAACCATCTTGCTACAGAAATGCCTAGAGAGATCACCCTCTCTAAACTAGACAATCAGCCAAACAGTGGTCCCACTAAAATTGGAAGACTGCTCTTAGATCTTCAAAGGAAAACAGTACTGTTTCCCCTTCTTTTCGAGATTGTTAATTTCCTCCTATTTAAAACAAATGTATAAGACAAATATTTACACCGTTCACCTACTGGGGTCCTTAGGCCATGCAGTCGACACCGTAACAGTGCTCCTCAGAGTGATATGATGCATCCTTACAACTCATCAGCTATAGTGAAAGTCTGTCCCTGGTCCATGCAGTCCAAGAGCAACTGCCAAATGCCCCGAGCAGCCACCCTTGGAACGTTCGACTAGACATGCAACAAGGCTGTGGAGATCTTTTTGTAAGGGAAGAAGAGGGGCTGTGGCACAGTGGAAAAGCCTCTGCCTTGCATGTCAAACTTCCCAAGTTCAATCCCTGGCATTTCCATTTGAAAGGACCCAGCAGTAGGTGATAGGAAAGACTTCTGTGCCTGAGACCTTGGAGAGCTGCTGCCAGGCCAAGTAGCCAGCCCTGATCCTGATGGACCAATGGTCTGATTCAGTGTAACGTAGCGGCGTGTGTCTTCCATGTGTGGAGGCAGACCCGCCTTCCAAGCCACCCTTCAGGGACGAGAGCTCACATGCCATGCGGGGGAGGTGGGGGCGAGAGACTGGACTGATGGAGCCAGTGCTGCTCCCACCAATCTCCTCTCGGTAGCAGCACATTGCTAGAGTGCATGGTTCACACGCGCAAGTTCTCAAGCATGATCCCCCAATAAAAATCATCTCAAGCTGTAGGGTTGCGGGAGAGCTTTTCCAACCCAGTTTAATTTCTTTCTCTTTCCAATATTCAGGGTTGCCTGGAAGGAGAACTGCAAAGGAACAGACCTCTCCAAATGGACCTCCGGCTGCGGACTCTGAATTTCCTCTCCTGAATAAAAATCTTCAGCACTGCAATTTGTCTTTAATGTGGTCTTTTGATTTGAGTGCTAAATGCTCTTCCCATTCCAAGCGGCTACAGACTGTAAGTGGAGGCTCACCTGACTGGTTCTTCCTTCTTACCAAAGAAAGGGGAAAAGGAAAGGGAAGGAAATCCCCACCCATGGAAAACTAATCTCTCAGGGAGAGAGGCTAGAATTCTTCTTCTTCTCCCTTGTTTGTTTAGTCTTCTGAAGGAATCTCAGTGGGAGAGATTCCAGGCAAGGCGTTTCCAACCTTTTTGAGCTTGTGGGGACCTTTGGAATTGTGACACATAGCAGGGGGTACAATCACAAAATGGCTGACACAGGAGGTGGAACCAATCACAAAATGGCTGCCATAGGAGGCAGAGCCAACCACAAGATGTCAGGGAGCTCAGCTTATATGTAACTCTAGTAATACCTCTTCAACCTTTCAGGCAGAAATTCATCCTGACAGGATGCCTTTCAATCTGCACAGCCAATCAGAAGTGCTGCCTGGCAGTAGCCCTAGCTAGCCCCTCCCACTTTCTAAAAGCACTTGTTAGGAAAGGTGTTGGTGGGTGCCATGGCTCTTATGGGCACCACATTGGGGACCTGTGTTCTAGGCAGTCCAGGTCACAATCACAACTTGTGAATAAAATATACTAAACGTATATTGTAGGAAAACACCAATAACTGGAAACCAATCAGCAGCCAGAGAGTTTCAGGCAGTATTTCTAGTTAAACCACCAATGGGCACATTAAGAGCTACCTCCATACATACACAAGAACCTTTGCATTCCTGTCTGAGGAACGGGTGCAAGGCTGAGCAACTTTGGCACCACCTGATAGGGCCTGTCCACAATCAGAGTTTCGGCCGAGAATTCCAAGCCAGGCTAACAGTTCTAGAAGTTCTCATCTCATCTTGGGAGTTCCTTTTCACACCCAATCAGGCTTCAAGGGAGTAGGCTAAAGGTTTTCCCTCTGAGCCTCTGGCCAATCACCAAATAGCAAACGGAAGCCGGTGTGTGTGTGTCAATTTCCTTTGGGTGGTTCATACATCACTCAAAACCAGTTCTCACATCCAGAGATGTCACTTTATTGATTGTATTGCCTTTCATACCAAAGATGTGCGTGTGTTTCTAAGTCCATTCTTTCCCGGACCCCCCCTCCCCCACAAACTGCTATTCAGAAGTGTACTTCTTCTGAATGTAGAGTTTCCATTTCACTGCCGTAGCCAATCGCAAACCTGTCATTCACCAACACCTTGCTAAAGTCATCTAAGCTGGTGATCAACATCCTGTCCTGGAAGACCATTAGAACAATGTTGTCGGGAGACTTGGGAAGGATCAGAGAGACCATGTCACAGAGCCCAAAACAAAGCCATTCATTCAAAACAAGCCAGTATTGCCATAGCTACTTCCAGGATCTATTTCATTGGCAATTTCCCAGCCGACTGATGATCATGTGAGGAATGGAATGATGTCGTAGTGCTAAAGAAGGAATCAGATCTGTCTATGTGTAGATATTACTATGGGTACGTGAAGTAGATTCAAAGTGAGGGCAGTACTTCTTCAAGATGTGGTCACTGTCAAAGCTATCATTGTCAGACTTTCAGTCATCAATGAGGAAGATACAGATCCCTAGTGAACTGAGAATATGTTGGTCTTTATGACCTAGGTTAGATGCAATCTTTTATGTCTTTTTAATGAAAGGTTCATTCCATCAGGACTATTAGCATATCTAGGGTGCAATCATATGTACCAAAAGCGGCGGCAACGTTGCCATTCCCCCGTGGAGTAAAGGGTCGCGATCAGACAGAAACATCTGTCCAGCGTTCCAGAGTTGTTGGCGGGGCGTCTTGTTGCACCGCAGGAGCGTGGAAAAAAGCCACCGGGGAAACTGCGGGGCGCGCGGGCGGAAGTCTGATCACGCAAACGTGCATCATTTTATCCCGGGGAAAACATCCTCGCTTCCCGCCCGCATTTTCTCGCTCGTGTGACCGCAGCCTAGTGTATTTAAAGCCCAACATCTTGTAGATTTTTCATTCTCTGAATGAACGAGTGGACAATGTGTATATGCCGATACCTCCAGGAAACAATGAATCTGAAGATGAGATGACTCAATGAGAGGACTCAGTGACTCAAAGTTCTAGTGACCTGGGACTTCTTTTGAGGCTATGACATCGGCATGTGATCGGCAATATGGCCTGGGCCGTCTTCTCTCTTCTGATAATTCCCCCCACCTGCCAGCTGATCAGCGGTGGGGGGGTGGGGCGGCGGCAATGGCCCCCCTCCACAAGGGGGCTGGAAACGCTCCTTCAGCCCCTGTTACCAGGTAGCCTAGTACACCACCAATAGGAGAACATTTGGAGGGGCAGCCACATCTCGCTCCCATGGGTGCAGGGGGAAAAGCCCAGTTGGCTCCTGGAAAAATCCTTCCGTGCCGTGCCTGCACAGTGGCCTTCAGTGACAAGCACAGCCCGTGGCAGGTTAAGAGGCGGTGCCACCTGAGGCCATGCCCCCAGATGTTGCCTCCCCCTCTCACCACTCCCTCTCCCTTACTATCCCTCCTCCACCACCAGAGGAGCTAAGGTTCCCTCCTCCCAATTGCCCAGGGGTCTTTAAGGACAACACACTAAGTCCATCAGAAGCTTCGGACAACCAGGAGGGAAAGACCACTTGCAGCTTTACCTCCTAGGTGATGGGGTGGATGGTGGGGCGGGGCCAGGCTAGGGATGGCAATAGAGGCGAACTGAAGTCATGGCAGCAGGGGTGGAGGCCAGCACTCCCAGCTGTAATCGCCCGAGGACACTGCCTCACCCCATCTCATTGCAGCGACCACCATAGTTGTAGCTGGTAGAGTTTTTGGCCGGTTCCTCCACGGCAGTGGAGGGAGGCCATTCTGCAGACTTGGTTGCATCTTACTCTGAGCCTTCAGCCGGACTCTTGCTCTTGGAGGCCATGGGAAGGGTCAGGCTGTCGCCCTGAAGCAGTACAGACTGTAGCCTCCAAGCACTGAGATGGAGCACAGGCAGTCATTGGGTTACAACAGTCACTGCAGGCCTCTGGGGAAGGAAGATGGCGGAACACAGGGCTAAATCTTCTTCCACATTCAGGACTCAGAGGACTTCACCAATGGGAACAGAGCTTTAGTGCACAGTATATCCCTTCTTCTCACTTCCATTGAGGGATGCCAGCCTCCAGGTGGTACCTGGAGACCTTCTGGAATTAAAACTCATCTCCAGACTCCAGGGATTGGTTCCCCAGGAGAGAATGTATGCTTTGGGAGGTGGTGGACTCTCTGTGGCACTGTACCCCACTGGGGTCCCTGTCCTTCCCAAGCTCCACCCCCAAATCTCTAGGAGTTTCCCCAACCTGGAGCTGGCAACCCTACCCTCCACCCCCTGCTGGTGTCTGGGGAAGACCCGGCAACCCTACTTCATCCCCCTCTCACTCATTCATCAAACACAACATTTGGGTGAGGTTGCATTCGGTTTACTAAAGGTAGAAACCCTTAACCCATGGGCAAAACCTGCTCTCCCTTCCCCCACGCAGATGCTTTTCAAACGATTTCCTCTCATTCATATGCCAAGACAGGCATTCTCCCCCCCCCCTCCCTCCCGATTAGGGTGCAAACGCTTGTCCAGCAAGAAGTGGATGAACCCTGAGAGCGGTGAGGTCTCCTTCCAGTAGCAAAGCGTGAAGAGTATCGCCGGGGCTTAGGCTGTTCTGGAAATCACAGTTGGCAACCCCGAGTCCATTCAGAGATGTCTTTTCCTTTGCAGTGTTTCACCCATGCTGTCCTAGAAGTCATAAAAAGAGGGGGGGGGATACACGGGTTACATACCTCTTCTTTTGAGAGCTCTAGGTGAGGTGGGCCTTCTTGGAGGCAGTCAAGTGACTTTTTGTAGCAGGAACTCCTTTGCATATTAGGCCACACACCCCTAATGTAGCCAGTCCTCCAAGAGCTTACAGAGCTCTTCTTACAGGAACTACTGTAAGCTCTTGGAGGATTGGTTACATTAGGGGTGTGTCACTTAATATGCAAATGAGTACCTGCTACAAAAAGAGCCCTTCCCTTCCCACTCAGTGTGTCTTGGCACTGCCAGACTAGGGACACAAGCAAACCTTTTCTTGTCTCTAGCTACCCCCAACTATACAAAAACTGATGCCGTCTTCTATGCCCCCTTCCCTCCTCAATGATGACCATTGCTCTTCGTCAATGGAGAGCCCACTGGCTGGCATATGTCTTTTGGGTCTCCATCCTCCGAGGCGCTTAAGGTGTGCAGCTACAGACCCATCTGTCTGCTTTCTCTAGCCCCACTTTTCTTTCATTCTCTTTCCTTTTGGAGCCAGGAGCACTGAAAGTAGCGCACTACGTGCTCCGTGGGTCATGCCTTTCCTCAGCTATGCTCATTGTTGGGTGAGGGGGGCTGTGATCTCAAGGTGTGGTTGGTGATCTCTATGGTTCCACCACCCAAAGTTCTTAAAGAGTCGGTTGGCTCACTGATGTCCTCCTACAGACCTGCTCGTTAGTACTCTGACAACATGATACCTGCGGCATCCAGATGTTGTATGCTGCAATGACTATGAGTACAAGATTTGGTCTCCTCCCTGTTGCCACTTTCAGTTAGGTCTTTACTACAGACCAAATCCGGGCATCTATACAGCATATTTTCTTTGGGAGGGACATTGGCTCAGCAGTAGAGCCTTTGCTTTGTACCCAGAAGCTCCCAGGTTCAGTCCCCAGCATCTCCAGTTAAAAGGATCAGGGAGTAGGTGATCAGGTGAAGAACCTTTGCCTGAGAACTTGGAAAGCCACTGCCTGTAATATACGAGGCTGACTTTGATAGACCAAGGGTCTGTCTCTGTGGACGGCAGCTTCAGGTAAGCTTATGCACTCTTGAAATGCACCGGGAATGATACAAGACGATTCTTCCAGAAGTCACAAGTCACCTTCTGCATTTTGGAGGTATGACTGACATATTCAAGTCCCTGGAATCTGAGAACAGCAGCACCTGTTGATCTGCTGGGAGTGATGTGTCCAGGGTCCAAGCTTGTCCAAGATAAGGTGGTTACCATTGCCTACCAGCTGGTTAGCTACCTGAGCCTTGGATGAAGAGGGACCCTGCTCTTCTTCTCCTTCTCCACCCCCATTAGGGGGTGGGGCCATGGGTGGCTGAAGACCCCCCCACACACTGTGTCGCCCGGGGCAGCTGCCCATGTTGGCCATTGGCTAAGATCACCCCTGCTCCATAGTACAGGTCCTCATTAGCTGCTGTTGGATCTTACAAGCAGAGGGATAAGTAGGGAGGGACTCACCAGGCATCCATCTTTTGGGGGTCTTGGACAATTCTCTTACAGCACTCAATGTCATCTGTGATGTCATCATTTGTGAAGCCTGCAGGGAAAAACATTAGGAAACAAAGGAGCTTCTTTCAACCCCTTTCAACCCTTTTCTGCAAATGGCTTGGCTCCACTAGGGTGTTTTCATGCACAGGAAATTCTTCTGGGCACTTTCTCACTTTCTTCATTCTCATGATGCCAAAACTCCCCCCCCCACATGCAGTACCTAGGGGGGCAGGTGAGAACATCATACTCTGGGAGGAGTGGCTGCTCCACAGGGGACCAGGTAATGGCAGGAGAGTGACCATTTGGGGGTGTGTGAAGAGATAGAACCTTCCTCCCCGAAACATCTCCAATCTCCGCATTCAAGAAGTGAGCCGTGACTCACGGACGCTCCTCCCCTGCCGCCAATTTTGTGAGTCTTTAAGGTGCTTTAAGGTGCTTTAAGGTCTTCGGACAGCGCTGGCTCTTCGGCTTTGAAACGGAGATGAGCACCGCAACCCTAGAGTCGGAGTCGACTGGCTTTCGAGCAAGGGAACCTTTACCTTTACCTAAGGTGCTCCTGGACTCTCGCTCTTTTCTACAGCTACAGATAGACTAACACGGCTACCCGCCCTGAGCCGGCCATGGCTGGGAGGGCAGGGTTTAACTATAATAAATAAATAAATAAAAATAAATCGATCCACATTCAAGAGATTTCACGGACCTTCATCTAGACGGGCCGATATGAGCACGGTACTTACTGCTGCAGGACTTGTTGCACACATTTTTCGACGGATACGTCCCATCGGCGCACCAGTATTTGCCGTTGATCTGGAAGATCCCGTAGTCTCGGCTGCCGTCCGTATTTGGGGGCCCCACGGCATTGGTATTGTATCTGCTCTCGTGATACGCCATGCAGACCCCTGCAACAAATGGAGCAGGAAAGGGGGGCTAGCAAGGAAACTGCAGCCGGGAAGAACTGTACAGAAAGAAATAATATGCAACTCGACTGGGTTTCAGCCTTCTAAAATCTCAGAACACGTTGATGCTGAGGATCGAACGTGAGCCGCGGCGACGCCAGTGGAAAGATCAACTTCGAAACGCCAAAGCCCAACGCAAAACAGATCTGTCCATGCCAGCCTCCTGGTGGGACCTGGGGATGCCCCAGAACTGCAGCTCATCTCCAGACTACAGAGATCAGCTCCCCTGGGAAAACAAATGTATCAAAAACAAGACAGGCTTTGGTGTGACTACAACAGAAAAAATAAGCTCACCGAAGAAAATCACTCTTCTTTCATTTTAACACACTTAGTTGTACTTCTATCACAAATTTCCCGTATTAAACAACGTTCATTCTTGTGTGAAGTGCATTTCGTGGACATCAGCAAAGCCAGTAAATAGTAACAAGTTATAGTTATTTAAGGAGCTGCGGTGGCTCAAGTGGTTAAGACGCTGAACTGCAGGCTCTGGAAGGTCGGTAGTTCAGCAGTTCGAGACCCGAGTGCGCCGCATGATGGAGTGAGCTCCCGTCTCTAGTTCCAGCTCCTGCCAACCTAGCAGTTCGAAAGCAAGAAACTGCAAGTAGATAAATAGGTACCACTTCGGAGGGAAGGTAACAGCGTTCCATGCGCCTTGGTGTTTAGTCATGCCAGCCACATGACCACGGAAACGTCTTCGGACAGTGCTGGCTCTTCAGTTTTGAAATGGAGATGAGCACCGCAACCCTGGAGTCGGATTCGACTGGCTTTCGAGCAAGGGAACCTTTACCTTTACTTTACCTATAGTTATTTATTCATTAGACTTTTACCCCGCCCTCCCGCCGAGGCGGCTCAGGGCGGCTTACAATGGTTTAAAAACCAGTAAAAACAGTATAAGAATAAATACAGAATACAATCAGTAAAATAAGCAAATATAGCTTATTAGATTTAAAATTACAGTTTAAGCATTACAGTTTAAGCATGGCGGCCAACTGTTATAAAGTGCTAGATCAGGGTGGTCTGGGCTATTCAAATGCTTGCCGGAACAGCTCGGTCTTTACCGCTCTACGGAATTGGTGGAGATCCCGCAGTGCTCGAATTTCATTTGGGAGCTGATTCCACCATATTGGTGCTCCATAGTTGTAAAAACGAGGACTTTTCAGTCTGCTTTGTACACGTCACAGCTCCGCCACGACGTCTTAAAGAGCAAACATTCCAGGAGCAGAGCCAAAACGGTGTTAAGAACAACTACATCAAGATTTTGCATTGTTTTCTATTGTACTCATGTTATTATTTACTGGCTTTGCTGATGTCCATGAAATGCACTTCACAGAAGAATGAATGTTGTTTAATATGGGAAATTTGTGATATAAGTACAACTAAGTGTGTTAAAATGATAGACGAGGGATTTTCTTTGGTGAGCTTATTTCCCCCCCCTGAAGAAAATGGCTGCTTTGGAGGGTGGACTCTCTGGCTTGTACCCCACTGAGGTCCCGGTCCTCCCCAGGCTCCACCCCCCAAATCTCCAGGAGTTTCCCAACCTGGAGCTGGCAACCCTTTTCCCCCACCAACCTCCAGTGGCCGGGGGGGGGGGGGGGGGGACCCGGGAACCCTACATGGGACTCATTGCCACCTAGTCACCCTTTCTTCATTGATCTCATTTATTACTCCAGGTTCTCGGATCCAAAGCCTGTCTGCACACGTGTTCTCATGCTACTGTCTTATATAATACTGATTGACAGAATAAAAAGCAGGCTTTCGATGCTCCTAGCGGAAAGGGGCGGGGATGCTACGTGGCCGGTCTATTCTCACCTTACTACCCGTTTACCTGCTGAATTCGGGTCCAGCGAGGAAATACTTCATTGGGGTCCCCCCATTTACTGAATCCACCCAATAGGGAACAAATCAACTCGCAAAAGGTGCTTACTTTTCTGGCTGTGATGTGTATGGGGGGAGGGAGAGCTACACGGCGTCCCTCTATTGTGTCCCAGGCTTGCCTATTTTGTCCCCCATACCAACTCCCCAACTGGGCTTGTTCATGCTGGCTTTCTTATGGGGGCTGCACTTTCACATTGCCAGCTGCCTGGTCCTTTTGACTGGAGATGCTGGGGACTGACCTTGGGACATTCATGCCTGGGGTCTTGGAATGGAAGCATAGAAAGAAATGGAAGAAGAAGAGATTGGATTTATACCCCACCCTCCACTACCCGGAGGAGTCTCAGAGTGGCTTACAAACTCCTTTCCCTTCCCCTCCCCACAACAGACACCCTGTGAGGTAGGTGGGGCTGAGAGAGCTCTTGACAGAATTCTGACAGAAACTGCTCTTTTTCAAGAACAGCTCTGACAGAACTATGCCTTGCCCAAGGTCATCCTGCAGCTGCAAGTGGAGGAGTGGGGAATCAAACCCGGTTCTCCCAGATTAGAGTCCACGCACTTAACCACTACACCAAACTGACTCTCACATGCCAAGAAGACCAAACACGTGCAAAGAGCAAACTCACAGTCCCCCAGTTTGTAGCCGTGGAACCCGTCCATGCCGTGGCTTTTCAGAGTCTTGGCCAGTTCACATTTCTCCATAGTTTTGGCTTCATTTGCAGCGATCAGGAGAAAGAGGAGGGTGGTGAGAGCCTGGATCTTCATGGCGGCAGCTCCCTGGAGGGTGAGGTGAAGCTTTGCCCAGGTCCCCACGGGCTTTTATAGCCCGGGCCGCTGGTATTTGAGGGAGGACACGGCAGACGAGCAGGAAGACAGCTGGTGATTTTCCTGGAACCATTTTGCATGCTAATGACCGATCAGGATTATCTTCTCTTGCCTCCTCGATAGTAAAGGGAAGCGGTCAACCTGTTGACCAATGGCATAAATACCCATCTCACAAGGAAACAACCATGCTTGAGAATAAGATTGCAATGCTTCAGGTGACGGGAAGAACATATGCTAATTTGGGGATACCGAGAAGCTCAGCACAAACATGATTGCCGGGAAACTTCCCTGGATTGAACTTCCCCAGTTACAAAGGAGGCGAGCTCTGGATTGGGTCACCTGGATGTCTTCTGTTGAAATTCATCACAGGCACTTAGCCAAGTATCTTTACAGTTAGGCAAAGCCCTCTTGCTGGGCTTTGTCTTGGAAGTAAACAATATACATTTTTTTGTTTCACCATGCATCTGTTTTTGTCCTTGCACAATCCATAAACAAAATCTTCGCTACTGGAAAGAGGTAAATATTCCCTGGGGCCATGGTCAAATCATTACAGTGACCTACTTGTTGATGGAATCACTTGTAGTCGATCCCCTCTTTGCACCTGTACAGTCAGATGCATTATTGAAATAAATCTCCAGAGGATATTTTGCTTGTTTTCAGTTCCTTTGCAATCAGCAGTTTTATCCAGAAGCGACTGCAAATGCTGATTGCTAGGTTCATGGACAGACACCAAAGATAACCGGAGATACCTAAGTAGTAAATCTCAATGTACAAATATCAAACAGATTTCCCCCCTTTAAACAACTGGAAGCAGTGGCAGCAGCAGATGAAGGTAGCAGCTGTAACCATCCAAACAAAAACTCTTAACTCAGATATGAAGCAGGCTGGAAGATAACTAAAGTGACATTGGCGGAAGGCTCAGGACGAATCTGACAGAGCACATCGCAGAGCCCATTTGCATGCCTATGGAGATGGTATAGCGGATGGGATGGCTCCACTGCCGTTGTGCCTCTGCACTAGCTTAAATGAATCTTCTCCAAACAATGTCCAAACAAGCACAGAGAAAGACGGCGTCACAGCAGCACGAAACTGATTTAAAAATGCAAATGCAGATTGGACCAGTGTTCCTTCATATATTGCCGAATTGCAACAGCTGGCACAGCATTGCTACTTTTCAAACTTAGCGGAGACGTTGCGTGATCGGTTGGTTTGTGGACTGCACGATGAAGCTTTACAGAGGTGTCTGTTTGCAAAGAAACAGCTCACATTTCAGACTGCACAAGAGGAGGCTTCAGCTGCTGAGGCAGCAATGGTAAATACAAGGGAAGTCCGTTTGGCAAGAAACCCATCGTACTCCCAATTGCAATTGTAAGTTGATGGCTTAAAACAGCCCCAATACCATATGGGGATGCATCGCATGTCAGAATTACTGGGTTTTGTTCATCATAGTGGACCAACACACTATCAGACGCCAGCAACTTTTTTTGCATCGCAAAAGGCCCTCTCATGCTGAGCTGTCCATTCCCACTTTGCCAGCTTGTCCAAAAGACAATGCAAAGGTTCTGCCACTGTTGCCTTATGCTGACCATAAACCGTGGTTGGGACTGTCTGTCCCTGACCGACAGACACCGCAGATATTGTTGCCGTGTATGCTTTGATGGGCAATTTTTTTGAATGCTTATGAATATACCCTGTTACACAGGCCGGGTAAAGGTATTGCCCATGTCGATGCTCTGAGTCATTTTCCTTCGCCGATTCTCCTCCTCCATTAGAGGTGTTCATGTTAGAGTCCCTTCCTGAACCACCCCTTCATGCAACTGATATTGCAGCAACATCAGCTAAGGGTGGCCAGTGGGGAAGCTTGAGGAGAAATTTGCACCATTTGCAGGGCTCTAGTCGGGGGGGAGCTCTCAGGTACGGAGCTCCGGAAGAGAACCTCTAGGGGGCGGGGCGGTCACGTGGTGAAGCCCCGCCCCCTTCTTTACCCCGCCCTCTGCTTCGATCCTCATTCCGTTTGGGAATGAGGATGAAGCAGGAGGGTAAGTAGCCGGGCCTTCTGACACACTTCCGGTGATGTCAGGGGGTGTGGCCTTCTGTCACTTCCGGTGATGTCAGGGGGCGTGGCATATGCAAATAAGTTATGCTAATGAGTTATGCTAATGAGCTCCGGCAGCTCTTTTTCTACAACAAGACCCCTGACCATTTGTGATGAGACAGCATGAACGATCAGTGCATAAAGACTGCCTTTTGTGGGGAAAAAGAGTGGTCATCCCTACAGTTTTGAGGCATTGTGTGTTGGAGGCACTCCATGTTGGACACCCAGGCATTGTGCAAATGAAAGCTCTTGTGCGCAGTTATGTATGGTGGCCCAAGATGGATAGTGAAGTGGAAGAGTGGGTAAAGAGATGTAATGAATGTCAGGCCTTAAAGCCAGCCCCGCCACATGCCCCAGTTCACTGGTGGGAGGCAATGAAAACCCTGTGGTCACCGCTGCATATTGATTTTGCTGGTCCTTTTCAGGGCCAGAGTTTCCTGATAGTAGCTGATTCATTTTTGAAGTGGTTGGAAGTTATCCCTGTTTCGTCAATGACATCTTGTGTTGTTATTAAGGCATTGCATCGACTCTTTGTGACACATGGATTGCCAGATGTGATTGTCCTGGATAATGGAGCCCAGTTCACATCAGAGGAATTTCATATATTCCTTGCTAACAGTTTGATTCGTCATGTGACCTCAGTCCCTTTTCATCCAGCTACTAATGGACAGGCTGAGAGAATGGTAAGGACTACTAAGGTTTGAGACAAATCAATGAAGGTGACTGGGATCGCTGCCTGGTTAGTTTTCTTTTGACACAGCATATTATACCTCCTACCACAATAGGCATGAATCCTGCGTAACTGTTAATGAACAGGCGTTTGACAACCCACCTGGATCAGATACACCTCGATTTAACTGAGGATCGACCAGGGGATAGAGATGTTCAATGGCCTGTCCTCTCGTATGTCCCGGATGATCCTGTTTATGTTAGAAACTACGGTTCAGGTGCAGCATGGATTCCTGCTATGATGATGCAAGCTGCGGGACCAGTGTCGTACCAGACAGAAACATCAGATGGCCTTGTGCTGCGACGGCATGTGGACCAAATGTGGGGGCGGGTGCCAGGAGTAACCATTCCTGTTGTTCCTGTAGGTGCTAGTACTACTCCAGCAGTGGGGGTGGGGGAGTTGACCCTTGTTCAGGAACCAGTGCAAGAGCCTGTGGGTAGGGAGCCTGAACATCAAAATGAGCTGGAGGCCACAGGAACAGTAGAAAGGGCATCAGAGTCTATATCAACTCAAATGCAGAACCAAGGTCGCCCACAGCATGAGAGAGTTCAACCAAGGTATTTACAGGATTATGTTAGCTAGGGACCAACCGAATTCACATTCCTAATTGTAACTCCGGATGTTTCCTGACCAATGAGACTGAAGGAGAGTGATACTTGGCGATCGCGGATAGGGTTTTGCTTTTGCATATAATTATATGAACACCTTTATAATGCCATGTAACCAATGTTTTAACTGAGCTTCTTGAAAGTTCCCTTTACTGGACAGGAAAGCCTTTTAACGTTCACTGCCGAATTTGACTCGTGTGATCATTTAGACAAATAGTTTTTTGTCGCGAACAGTTTCACAGTAGATCCGCCCCTGTGTGCAAAGAAGCAGTGTGCATGGAGTTTCTGAGATAGTGAGGAACAGCAGGAGTTGACTGAAAGAGAAACCCATTGCAATGCAAAGTCTCTTGGTCTCTGGACATCTCTTCTAGGGTGGCTCTGGTGTCTTGCAGGAATCCCCCTTTATTTCCACCTGTGCCCCGCTCCCCCCCCCCAGGAAACCATATTCAACTACGATTGCCTGCTCCTCAGTCAGGGCTCTACTGGTAGCAGGAGCTCCTTTGCATATTAGGCCACACCCCCTAGTGTAGCCAATCCTCCAAGAGCTTACAGAGCTCTTCTTACTGGGGCTACTGTAAGCTCTTGGAAGATTGGCTACACTAGGGGTGTGTGGCCTAATACGCAAAGGAGCTCCTGCTACCAGTAGAGCC